ATCCTAATCAAAGATAAATAATATATGCAAATCAAACACACTATTCACACATTCACCCTTAAGGTTAACTCCACTTGTTGCCTAAAAATGGTCAAGTTATGCATGTGGGATGTCTTAGCAAAAATAATCAAAAATACAAGATCATAGTCCCTCGATGACGCTACGAATGTTGTCTTACAAATGATCTTAATCCCTCAAGAAAAATGCTAAGACATCCTACAACATTGCTATCATGACTATACGATGACCCACGCCCGTCCCTTTACATCCAAAGATAAGGCTTTCTACCAAATCAATGGTAAGATAGCAATATCAAAGGAAGGAAGAAATTAACAAAGACTTTTGAGTAGGTAGATTGTTCCTAGTTGCTTGCTCACTTTCAAAACAAACATCCTTTCTTATTTTCAAAACAAACACTTTCAAAAATAAACTTTTAAAACATAAAATATTTTCAAAAATCCAACACTTTGTATACGTTCTTACAAACTAGAACCATTACAAAGTTTGCCTAAACGAAGACGCCTTTTCAAAATACTTTCAAAAACCACCACAAAGCATATTTTCAAACAAAAGCAAGTGATCTAGCAAGCAACTAAGAGCCCATAGATAACTATGGATGAAAAGGGTGTTAACACCTTCCCTTTTCATAATCTACCCCCCCCCCCCCCCCCCCCCCGAACTCAAGAAATAATCTCAAAGGTCTTTCTTGTTCTTTTCATCCTTTCTTTTTTGGATAAAAGAAAATTCGATAGCGACTCTTGCTAACCGCAAAATTTGCGATCAAACGCAAAACATCCCAAGTCAGTTCTCCCACCGTATTACAACGTCCAATTGTATTACATGCTTGCAGAGATGCCTTCCCCAGGGCTTCCACCTAGCCTGCACCTATATTGTAACCCATGCCACCTCTAATTCACCAACAGGGATGGCAACACCTTTCATTTTTGTACTCATTCGCCAAGTCCAATGGCGCCTCCCTACACATTCAATCGTATTACATGCATGCAGAGATGCCTTCCCCAAGGCTGCCACTTAGCCTGCACCTACACTGAAACCCATGCCACCTCTAATTCTCCAACAGGTATGGCGACACCTTTCATTTTTATACTCATTCTCCAAGTCTAATGGCGCCTCTCCACACGTCTAATCGTATTACATGCATGCAGAGATGCATTCCCCAAGACTGCCACCTAGCCTGCACCTACACTGCAACCCATGCCACCTCTAATTCGCCAACACGGATGGAGACACCTTTCATTTTTGTACTCATTCGCCAAGTCCAATGGCGCCTCCCCACACGTCCAATCGTATTACATGCATGCAGAGATGCCTTCCCCAAGGCTGCCACCTAGCCTGCACATACATTGGAAGAGTGACACTTATCATGCATGCATGCACCCACCAATAACCTCACTTACTCTGTGATAAAATTTTGCCTATAAATACAGAGTCTCACATACTTCTATTATATCCACAATCATCTCACTCTCTGCTACAAACTCTTTCATAATCTCACACAATTTTAACAATGGCTCTTCTCACAACGGGCGATTCTCACAGAGGCACTAGGGACAATATTGCAGCGTTTGTAAGTTTCTTGTATACTTATACATTTTTCATACTTCTATTAATGATTTATACATCTTATGGACTCTTACACTTTTTACATTCTTAACGTAGGATACTAAAAGATTCAGAATCCGATCACACAACTACCTTGATCCCGACCCGTTGATCGTGCCCTATCTCGAATACGCAGGTTTCGAAAATATTATAAAGATCTCCAACTGCATGATTGATTCAAAGTTCATACTTGAAATGTTGGAAAGGTGGAGACCAGAGACCCACATATTTCATCTACCAATAGGTGAATGTAACGTCACACTAGAGGACGTGTACATGTGATTGGGTCTCCCTGTCAATGGTAAGGCGGTTAATGGGTCGGTTCAACAGCACAATTCTCTGTGCGAAGAATTATTGGGAAGGGATATGGTTGAAGGTGGTGGTGCAAGAGGCCAGGGTATACTACTTACTGAACTCAAAAATTATTATGCGAATCTGGAGTTGAACGAAAATTCCTCCGAGCTAGCTAAGGTAATAAAAGCTAGAAATTATATAATGATACTTTTTAGAATCTTTTTATTTCCCGAAAGTACGGGAAATAGTGTAAATTTCATGTATTTAAATTTACTTAGAGACTTTGAAAAAAACTAGAAAGTATAGTTGGAGTTCTGCTGTTTTAGTCAATCTATACAATTCCTTGTGTAAAAATGCAATCAAGGAAAAATATACCTTTTATGGATACGCTTTTTTACTTCAAGCCTGGGATTGGTGGAGAATTGAGTCCCTAAACCCCGTCAACAACAATGCATTCGTTTTCCCATACACAACAAAGTAAATCAATAACTTATATCATTTATTATTATTCATCTCTTCACCAAATATATGATAAAAATAAAATATTTTTCAATTCCTTTAAGTACTGCGTTAGGGGTATGGATTACGAAAAGAATCCAAGATTCAATGTCGCTCTATATCTCAATCTATTGGATCACCTTGGCCCGGATAATGTACGTCATACCTTTCAACTTTTCTACTTTTAAGTTATTTATTTATTACGTTTTCATTAAGCTGATTTAATTTTATTCGCAGTTTGTCTGGAGACTATATTTGGGTTTGGACCATGAACCAAACTCTGAGGATGCAACAATTTGGAGCGCAAAGACTACAATCATACGATTCAATGTTATGAAGATGCACCACAGTGACCGTGTCAAGATGCAGTTTGGAATGCATCAAGAGATACCTTGCAATCCAACTTATTTGTCCCCGTGGCATCTCAAAAGGGTCGACGCCCAATGGAGTCTTACCAACAGGAAAGATTTTTCTCCAGAATGGTGTAAGATGTGGCAGATGCGTCACCGACATGTTTTGCAATTCCTAGTTTTCCTCAACCATGGTAATATGCGACACACAAATCAATATTTAGCTTGGTACATATCGATTAGTACCCCAGAAATGCATGTGTCTCATTCAAGGTATTTGGTTGACCCATCAACACAATAGGCACAACCCTCATTTCCCCAACAACAAACCCAACACACATCAACCTCCCACCAACCTCCCCGACGAAACAGAACCACAAACACCCAATATGATTACACCTACATGCCCCACAACCAACCACATTCACCACCTCAATACCAATACCCCCATATGCCCCACACCCAATCACAATTGCAATCACAATATCAATACACCCGCACGCCCCACACACAATTCTAGTCTTCTACATATCCTAATATGGGCCCCTCAACATCTAACCATAGCCCTGATCTGAGATTTTCCGAAGATTATGAACCAACCGACCTAACTTACCATCAACCATCACATCACCAAAGCACCCAACATTCCCAATACCAAACACCTTAGGATTCATTTCCTTTCTACCCTCTTACTTAGACGACCAGTGCTATAGATCAACCATGAAACTCCACCCACCACCAACACGACCAAACTTTAAGGGTATGGATAACCGACTGTACCAAAGCGGATCTTCCAGATATGGAGATCTGACCAATTTCATGAATCCGGAACGCATTGACTTCGTTGGACCATCGACCTTGCCACAACAGGAAACGCGACGAAACCCACCACGGGAAAGGCGAGGACGGGGATGCGAAACCGCAGGTCGTTACCGGGTTCCGGAGGACCACTGCTTATTTTGTATTTTTTTATGTAATCGTTTTGTGTAATCGTATTGTGTAAATAAAAATTTGAACTTTCGTGATCCTATATCGTTTACGTAACGTCTCGCATTTAAAATAAAAAAATACGAAAAATCGCCTCCCCGTTGCCCTAAGGCGCCATCTCATTTGATTTATGACACAAATTTAACACCTATGTGCCAAGTGAAATGGCGTCTCCCCTTTAAAATAAGGTGTAGGCGCCAATTGAGATGACTCCTCTCTTGTGAGATTTTCTGAAACATAATTATTTACGTGATTTTCTTCGAAATATTGTTATTTGTGGGAAAAAAATTCGATACCTAATTATTAAAAAAAAGAATTCTCGTGTTTGCATATTAAGTTCCTTTTAAGCAGAGATCGTGATTGTAGTTTTAAATGATACAATATTCTCCTCCAACCTTCTAGTTTTGAATGATAAACACATTATTATAGTTATTAATATTAGTCTATACTGGAAATGCATATCAATATTAGTTTCCCACTTTTACATAGTCTATGTCTATATTTTTAAGAGTAAATAATTTTTTTGGATATAGCTCTTATGTCAAGTTTATACGGTTAAAACGTAAATTTTTTTGTGTGTTCTTATATCTTATAATATTGACAAATGATTAATTTTACCTCCTTAAAATTAAATTTAATAGATATTAAAATTATTTTGTTTTAAACTATTCAATTTGATTATGTTGGTAAATAGATTTTGTTTGCAATTAAACTTTATAATTTTACACTATTTTATTATATATGTTTAAAATTTGAACTTAAAGATATGAATGAACTTATGAATATATAATATGTGGTAGGTATAATTTTTGTAGAGATCGAGGAACCTTAAAGGATTTCTTGATCATAATGGCTTGTATTTTTTTTCTCATATTTATTTGGCTCAATCAAAGGCTTATGGTCTTGTTTCTTTTGCATCTAATAACTGTAATCCTTTTGCATCTAATAACTGTAATCCTAGTTATAGGTTCGCTCTGAAAGATTGTGCATCTTAAGATGAACTTTTATTACGTCACTATAGAACCTAACCAACTTCAACTAATTATATATATTCCATTACTATGTAATTCTGTAAGCAATTGAATCAATGAAGAATGAACATCAAAGCTTTCTAAACATTTACCACTACTGTGCACAAATGATTTAGGATTCGATCATGGATAATTGAGACTTTAAGTTAATTTATTTCTATAATACACTACTCTACATGGAGTCATGAACATTCATTTCTCATAAAATTCAAAACTCTTAACCGCGTAGAGCTCTAAGAACCCTTGAATGAGGAGCATCAGGGTCACCATGCATTGCTCTCCACCGCCACATCTCAGCAGTCTTCAACAGCGTCTCCTCCGCAGTCTCAACCTGTTCCGGCAACCAACCAATCACATCTCCCCCTTGTCCAGAATCCGCAGTTCCATGCATAACACGAGTAGCAGGCTTTCTTGTATCTGCAAACTCCACTTCCGATAACGGAGACGGTTTGTGATCTTTATAGTAATCTTTGTTATCCTCGTTTTCTTCCTCTCTATTCTTATCTTTTTCTTCTGGCCATGGTGTTCCATCCAAACCAGCACAACTCACATCTTCCAAAGCTTTTGTCCCATGTTTTCTCTTCTGATGAATGTTTGGATCCAATGGTTGGTTCACGCCTGTGCTCTTTAATTTAGGAGAAGATTCACATGGAGATTTTGGCGACTCGAAAACTTCTCCTTTTTCTGTTTCAGGAAACTTTGAATTTGTGTCACTATCACCTTCACCTCTAACTGTACCCTGCAACATTGTTATTAATTCTTGGTCAAAATGATAAATAATAGTTACACACACATATATGAATCCATGTTAGTATAGTTACTTGAGGTGAAATTCTGGAATTAGTGTAACCGGGTTTTTGTTGTCCTGAATGAACATCTGGGTCTGCTGTGTGGCTACGAGTGGAGAATCCACGTTTCAGACATGTTGAAGAGAAGGCTTGGTATGATTTTCTTGTTACATCTGCTGCTAGTTTTAGATGCATCGTAACGTTGTTGTTTTCTGGTTTTTGTTGTGATTCTGTGTCTTGTTTCTTGGATTGGATGGTGTTTTGAAGAGACAAAGGATACTAATAGTAGTAACGAGAAGAGTTATGAGGCACTTTCGGGAATTTCCTGGAGAGTGTTTGTTATTTACATGTAGCTATGTTAATTTCTTGCCACGTGTATAGAGAAAGCATCTTTAAAACCAAGAAGTCCTTTCCCGAATGCACTGGGAATGAAAAGGAGAGAATGATATATAATTTTTTTTTCCTCCTAATTTTTTAAAAATCAAACCGGTTATTAAATATGAGGATGGAATTATTGAGTTACTATTTGAATTATATGACATTATTGAATAATTTGACTAAATAAATCAGAATAATTTAGTTGAATAAAGCCGAAATAAATAATTCCATCTCGAAAGAAATTATGATATCTATTAAATTTAAGATTTCAAAATATCATAATCTTACAGGTGGATTTTTTAAAGAATTTTTTTTACAATAACTAAGTTTTAAAATTTTTTTTATAAATAATTATGTTTCGGAGAAAATTAAACAAATAATCATGTTTCAGAAAACTCTATAAATGAGGAGTCATCTCAATTGGCACCTACACCTTAATTTAAAGGAGAGACGTCATCTACCTTGGCGCCTAGGTGTTAAAATTGTGCTCTAAGCCAAGTGAGATGACGTCTTAGTGTAAAAGGGGTCCAATTTTTTTCGTTTTTTATTTTAAATACGGGACATTAGGTAAACGATATAGAATCACAAAAATTCAAATTTTTATTTACACAAAATGATTACTTAATAAAAAAAGTACAAAGTAATTAGTAGTCCCCCGAAACCCGATAACGACTCGCGGTTCCGCATCCGCGTCCTCGCCTGTCCCGTGGTGGGGTTCGTCGCATTTCTTGTTGTGGCAGGGTCGACGGCCCAGTGAAGTCAATGTGTTCCAGATCCATTAAAATCCGTCAGATCTTCATATCTGGAAGATTCGCTTTGGTACAGTCGGTTACCCATATCTTCAAAGTTTGGTCGTCTTGGTGATGGATGGGTTTCCATGATTAGTCTATAGCATTGATCGTCTGAGTAAGGGGATAGAAAGGAAATGAATCTTGGGGTGTTTGGTATTGGGAATGTTGGGTGCTTTGGTGATGTGGTGGTTGATGGTAAGTTGGATCGGTTGGGTCATAATCTTTGGAAAATCCTAGATCAGGGCTAAGGTTAGATGTTGAGGGGCCCATATTGGGATATGGAGAAGATTGAAATTGTGTGTAGGGCATGCAAGTGTATTGGTATTGTGATTGAGATTGTGGTTAGGTGTGGGGCATATGGGGTATTGGTATTGAGGTGGTGATTGTAGTTGGGTGTGAGGCATGTGGGTGTATTCGTATTGTGGTGGTGATTGTTGTTGGGTGGTTGTGGATTTGTATCGTCGGGGAGGTTGGTGGGAGGTTGATGTGTGTTGGATTTATTGTTGGGAAAATGAGGGTTGTGTCCATTGTGTTCGTGGGTCAACCAAATACATTGGATGAGACACGTGCATTTCTGGGTTACTAACCGATCTGTACCACGCTAAATATTGATTTGTGTGTCGCATATTATTATGGTTGAGGAAAACTGGAAATTGCAAGACATGTTGGTGATGTCTATGCCATATCTTACACCATTCTGGGACAAAATCTTTCTAATTGGTAAGATCTCATTGGGCGTCGACCCTTTTGAGATGCCACGGGGACAAACAAGTTGGATCGCAGTGTATCTCTTGATGTATTTCAAACTGCATCTTGACACGGTCGCTGTAGTGCATCTCCACAATATTGAACCGTATGATTGCAGTCTTTGCGATTAAAATTGTTGCATCCTCGGAGTTTGGTTCATGGTCCAAATTCAAATATGGTCTCCAGATAAATTGTGGATAAAATTAAATTAGCTTAATGAAAAGTAATAAATAAATAATTTAAAAGTAGAAAAGTTTAAACTTATGACGTACATCATTCGGGCCAAGGTGATCTAATAGATTGCGATATATAGCGACATTGGATCTTGGATTCTTGCCGTAATTCATTCCCCTCACGTAGTACTTAAAGGAATTGTAAAATAGTTTATTTTTATCATATATTTGGTGCACAGATGAATAATAAATTATATAAGTTCTTGACTTACTTTGTTGTATATGGAAAAACGAATGTGTTGTTGTTGACGGAATTTAGGGACTCCATTCTCCACCAACCCCAGGCTTGGAGTAAGAAAATGCATCCGTAAAAAGTATATTTTTCTTTGATTGCATTTTTACACAAGGAACTGTATAGATGGGCTAAAACAGCAGAACCCCAACTATACTTTCTAGTTTTTTCAAAGTTTCTAAGTAAATTTAAATACATGAAATTTACACTATTCCCCGTACTTTCGGGAAATAAAAAGGTTCCAAAAAGTATCAATATATAATTTCTAGCTTTTATTACTCTAGTTAGCTCAGAGGAATTTTCGTTCAACTCCAGAGTTGCATAATGATTTTTGACCCATGCATCATCAACATTACGTCTCCGTCTGTTTTGACTTTCTCCAACAAAAAATAAGGTCTTCCTGTTACAAGTGAGGTGGTTGTTCTTCTTCGCTGGATCCTTCTAATTTTTCCCCCATCCTCGATGTCTCCCTCTAGCCATCGCGTCAACTCTCTCTTCAGACGCTCCATGGAGTGAATGTGCCAAAATTTCATTTTCATCGGAGGTTTGGTGGCCGAGAAAATAGCGTAACCATCTTTGGTAAAAATCATGGGAGATGTCATGAGGAAAATAACAGAGAAAAAATAATAAGACAATGCGAGAAAGTGTGAATAATGACAGAGAAACGGGGGATTTATTTATAAAAAATTACATTTTGCCCTAGGCGCCAAGTGAGATGGCGCCTCCTCTCACTTTTAGAGTGCATGCGACATCTCACTTGGCTAAAAGTGAGAGCATGCGCCAAGTGAGGTGGCGCCTAGGGAAAATGACCAAGTGCAGACGCCAACTGGGTTGACTCCTCCTTTGTGGGATTTTTAGAAACATGATTATTTGCGTAATTTTGTCCAAAACATAGTTATTTGCGGATATTTTTTTCAAAAGTTGGTTATTGCAAAAAAAATTCTTCTTTAAACTCATATTTTAGATATAATATTACACATAACAAAAATTGTATAAAATATAAATCAAAAGAAATTTTGAATAAGTTCTAATTGTAAGATAAACTAAATAATAAAATAAGTGCAGTGTTTAATAAATTTAGTTTTAAAGAGAAAAAGTTATTTCAAATAAATTTTGAACAAAACTTACTTATATTTTAATTTTAATTTTTTAAAATTATGAGAATGGCGTCGTTTTGTTTGAGAAAACATAGACATTTAATCCATCGATTTTTCAAAATCGTTGGTTCGTGGGTTTTTACCGATTTCGATCGATTCTAGGTGGCTCTCATTAATATAATAGCTTATTCGATCTAGCAATCAAATCAGACCAATGACCATTTTGATTCCGATTCGACTGGCCGGTCTAGTTCGGTCTTTGAAACACTCTCACTACCTCTCAAATTTTTCTCTCACTTTTATATTTGCTAATATTTGATAGAAAATTTTCATTATAAATATATTGCTTTAAACAATATTATTTCTTATTTTCAATATAATTTAATTTATAATTTTTTTATATTTAGCCACACTAATATTAATGTTTGAATCCGCCCCTAGATTCAACTGCATACTATTTGATTAGGTGGACAGTGGTCCTTTCTGAGAAAAACCCAAGGTCCAAGAGACTAATATAAATACCTCATCCCTCAAGGGAAAAAGTCGAGATTTAAGTCATTCACACATTCTACTATCTAAAAGAGCATTACGTTCATAACCATCATCACATACTCAGCAAGAGCAATCGCCCGCCTGCAACCTTGTAGTGACGACCATCTATAGGATCCCTCACCTCACGTGAACGGATCCCTTAAGCAGACTAAAAAATTATCGTACGGTGCTACTCGCCGTAGTGAGCTAGCCCTCGCCATCCAAACATGTAATATATCTACTAGGGTCTCTGAATCTCTCTGTCATTATAGAGAAAATACACACACAACTATACTTTTTGGACAGTGCAATGGCGCAAACTGTAAGACCTGGTAAAACTAACTAGAGTCACACCATTCACTCCAACCTATCTTCCTCTCTTTCTCTCTTGAGATGAATGATGTGGTCCTACATCATGTACAAACACTATCCACTACTACAGAAAACACCTCTCACAATGGTTGAAAAATGAATACCACCACGTCTGACCAACCGTTGTGAGGTAAGATGTGGTTGTATGATGATGCTTTCCATCACGAGTGTGTGACCGTTTTGATAAATTAGGTAGCGCACTATATATCACAACATTTATAGTAAACAACTGTTGTGAAATTATCTAAAGGTCAAGAGTTCAAAACTCTGATTGTATATTATATAATATTTGATGTTCTACCTATCACAATGGTTATTGTAAATGATTGTGATGAAATACTATATTTTTTTGAATAATAGACTCAGACGTTCCAATTGAGACACTGTTTGACAACTTAGAAATTGGAGAGAATAATAAAACCCTAAGAATGAAGACAAAATGAAAAGAAAAAGATGAATAGAAAGAACCAAAAACAAAAAGAAGTCTGAGTGATAATACGCATAAGAGGGATGGATGATAATACACACAAAAACGAAGAACAAGATGAATAGAAAGAACAAGATGAAAGAAGAGATTAGGGATGAATGATAATATTTCAGAGAAGGATGAAGACAACATAGAGACAATATTTACTCTTTTAAATAATAATTTATTTATTCATTAGTAGGCATGCCACACTGACACTTACTAACTATTTAACACCATATATAATAGAAAGGATCAAATATGTTAACAAAAATAATATTACGAAACTAAATCAAAATGATTTTTTATTAAGGGACTTAATCAAAATGATTTTTTATTAAGGGACTT